CAAACCTCTTCTCCTAGACGTTTCTGCTTCACATCGTGTGGCTTTCTGGGAAGACATAGATAGTTCAGACTAATCTCTCTCGGGGAATTAATTGCTGTTTCCTCTTTCCTGTTTTGAACAGAAATTTTCTTTAATGTATTGTGTGAGTACAACATGTAGAACGTAGCCTTTGGTATCACATAAATATTTACTTAATCGTTAAAACTCACTGTCATGTAGCATTTATTTCAACTTGAAAATATTATAAGCTGTTTTCCTCATGGAAAATAAAATGAAAAGGCACTGCTCCTTTGATTTTCAGTGCCTAGGTTTTTTTCATTTTGTTTTGTTTCCGTTGATCTTGCATTTTTCACAGCAAGTCCATAAAGTTAAGCCAGAGATTTATTGAGTAAATTCCTCAGATACTGAGTGGGAAAAATTCCATCTAGTCTCTTCAGGGGCTTTCCCCACTCCCAGTCATAACCACTGTTGTCTGGACAATGACGGCAATTCCTTGCTTTGTTAGTGGAGACCCACCTATTAGTGGAGACCCACCTGTTAAGGATCAAATCCAAAATATCTGAGAAGAATAATTTAGAGAGTGGCTATGGACCATCCACTGTGTCTAAGAGTCTGTGCCCAGAATACTGCCCGGCATCCAATATCCACCTAATAAACATTTTTTAGAATGTACAATTTTTAACGTTTCAGAAAGTCTTGATGTGTTTTTCTGTTTATGTTCTTTGAGGATATTTATCCTTTTCTCTTTCTCATTTTATATAGATATACACTATAGACATGTTTCTTAGTTCTCTTTTTCTACATATTGTTTCTTGGTGGACTTGGCATGTCTGCTTTTTGAAACCACTACGTTAAATTCCATTATATGTGTGCCTTGTGAATTAATCAGTCCCCTTTGACTCTCTCAGTCTCTAGTTGAGGGCAGGATGAGTGTGTGGAGAGGTGAATGGGCAGCAGCCAGCAGGAGACTTCCATACACAAAGCTGGGTTCTGGGGACTCAAGCTATTCTGCCATCCTTGTGAAATATGGGTGGATGCGTCAGGATGGGAATTCTTGAACTTGACACTCACTTTTAGCTGTGTGACCTTCAACAAATCACTTAACCTCTTGAGCTCTTGGTTTCTTCATCTGTAAGTTGAGGATAGTAGCACCTCATGATGTCAGATGTGAGTTGCGTACAATATCTTGTGTATATGTCATAATACCTTGTGTATTTTTAATAGCACCTTATGGATGTATAACAGTATTTACATATAAAATAGCAACTCATGGATATAAAATACTTAGAATGGTGCTCACCATGTGATAGGAGCCCATACATGGTAGCTGTTATTTTTCAGCTTCTGAATCATCCAAGATTTGACAGTTATTTAGATAAAACTATCAGGATGTTTGACTTGTTTTCTTTGTGTTGTGAAATAATCTGCCTTGAAAACTGGATTCACTCTTTGCTTGGCTTCCAACACAAGCCTTCTGAGGATGTTCCCAGCCTTTTCTCAAACTGGTCACATTTCTTACTGCTCTTGTCCTAGAGCTGAGTCAGTGTTTTTACCCAGCCCAGTCTTCCCAGGACTACTCCACTCTGGAGGTGGAGTGTGCTCCTCCAGAGCCCCTGATGTGCAGGGTGGGAGAAGACAGGGCCGACCCCCTTTTATTCACAGTGGCGGGGCTGAACTATCTGGAGACAGTCGGACCCCAGCCAGGGGAGGTTTTGTAGTGGGGTGGATGAGAGTATTCCACTTTCCCTCAATCAGGAAATGTTGTATTGGCACCTGGGGGAGAGAACATGCCAGCCTGGTGTTTAGACAGAGTTGTTGCAGTACTGCTTCCTGATGGATAAGAAAACAGATGCCTGAAGAGATTAAATGACTTGTTCTAGATTATAACACAAGTCTGGGGTAAAAGCAACATTTGTCCCATCTCCCAGCACCTAGTTCAACCACAGTGGTAGAAAGAGAAGATCAAAAGAAGGAGGCGAGAAGAGATCAAGAAGACCACCCATGGCACACTTCCTTGTGGAGAAGACCCCTATGCACGCTCAAAATCAAGAGTAGGTGATTGATTGAGGGATCACCTGCAGTGAGGAATGACGGTGGTGCCCAGAGGTGGCCAGCCAAGCATATTGGTCCTTCTGACTGGTCCAGGCTCCAAGGGCAGGGGTCTTGGGCGAGCTGGAACTTTGGGCTTGGCAGTCCTTTTTACACATGCCCTCGAAGGAAGTGCCAGCATATGGGGATTCATAACCATCAGCCTATTAGGAATTCCCTGCTAGAGGCTTTCAAAGAGCACTGAGTCTAAGGATGCCCGTGACCTTGAGTGGGAGAGGGAGCTCAGTCCTGTTGTTTGAGCCCCCTTTTTGTGCAGGAGCACATGAGATGAGGCGAGGGAGGTGGTGATGAAGCAGTGGGACCTTCAATAATCAGACAGACCAGAAGAGGTAGCAGAGGGTTTGGTGCCAGGGGCTGCCTCTCCCTGTGATTGTGAGTGTCCTTCTGGCCTAGACTGCGAAGTCTCAGCCCAAGGAAAAGGGGCCGGGTGAGGCTGATCAGCAGAGCAAGAACTGTGAGGTGTGGGTTCTCTGTGCTCCTTCTGCCACTTGCCTGCAGCCTGTCAGAGATTCTTCTGAGCTTTGGAGCTGTAAGATACTCATTGGTATAGAAGACCCTAGGAATTTGAGCTTATAGGCAAACCGAAGCCAGCATAAAACACTCTTGGAATGTTGTTAGACATTAAGCTTACCGAATATCTCATAGCTGCTTCACAGGCTGTCTCCTTAGCTTCATGCCTTTGTGAATTCTTGTTGTTATATCTGAGCAGCCAAGATCTTCATTTACACAGAAAGTTTCACAAGAGTTATCCAACTTTGTGTTGGCCTCTCCCTGACTTGGGTCATCCCTTCTGCTGTGTGGTAGATGCAGCCATAAAACAAAAGATTTGTGTAGGCAGAAAGGAAAGGGAGCGAAGGAAAGGAAAACCAGTGCCGGTTTTGCCTTGTGGGCTGTGGCAAATGAGCCATCACCCTCGGTGGGTATGGCTGAGTACATCCAGTGAAGTGATGTGAAGAGCATGCTTCAGAGCAAGTCACAGATGTGGGGGCAAGTGGGGTGACCCAGCTCAGAACCACAGGCAACTGGAGAAGCTGATAAAATGTATCTTGTCTCTCCTGATCTCCAGGCCAACATCTGGTGCCCTTTCCTCCTTATTCATGCTATGTAGTCCCCCACTCCTGCAACATGAGCGACCCTTCCCTTACCTAATGCTTTAGGTGGAAAGAACTGCTATTAAAAATGATTAAAGGACTTCTCTGGGAGTCTAGTTGTTACGACTCCAGGCTTCCAATGCAGGGGGTGTAGTTTGATCCTTGGTTGGGGAACTGAGATCAGGTATGCTATGCACTGCAGCCAAAAAGAAACAGTGTATTAAAAATGTCATTAAAGAGCATTAGAGAACATTTTTCAAATATACAAATACATAATCCCACCATCCTAGTATAACACAATAATTCTTTTATGTTACCTTCAACCTGTAGATATGTTTTGTGTTTCTGGGCCTCCTGTTTTCACAGTTTTGAATCACATCTCCCCATGTGCCTACCTAGTCTTCTCTCAACATTTTAAAATTTATATAGATGTAGTATAATTCATTAGACCATTCTTCTGATGTGAGACTATCAAGTTATTTGTTTGAAGGCTGATTAGACATGCCTTGGGGAACATGTATAAGTTATAAGTGTATAACTTTTAGTTTCTGTTGAATTATTGACTTAGAGTTACTAAGGAATTGCCTAATCAGAGGATATGAATCTTTTTGTGATGTTTGCCATGTACTGTAATATTGCTTCTGAAAATATTATGCGACATTGCCTCTAGCAGTGAATGAATAAATCAGTTTCATAGCAGCCTTCCGAACAGCTGATAATACCATTTAAAAACAAATTTGTTTCTTTATTAGGCATTAAATGGTATGTCAGTGGTAGGTCAAGATAGCTCTGCATTTTAAGAATTCCTAGTAAGAGTGAATATTTTATATTTCTCCTCCTATAAATTTTATATTTATGTCATTTACACACTTATCTATAGCTAAAGGTTTATTGATATGTACATCTCCGCGGTATGTTTGCCATTGAATTGGAAACTAATCAAATGGGAACAAACAACTCCAGGCTGTAGAATGTTCCATAAGACAACATCCTATATTTTCCATAACTTTGTCATAAGAAGGGAATAAGTCAAGAAAATTGTTCTAGATTAGGAGATTAAAGAAACATGGCAAGCAGATAGCTTCCTTGAGCTCTGACTAGCTCCTAGATTAAACATTTAAAAACAACAGCAATAAAGGACATTTAGGGACATTCGGGTTTTCCATGTGGCGCTAGTGGTAAAGAACACACCTGCCAATGCAGGAGATATAATCGATCCCTGGGTCTGGAAGATCCCCTGGAGGAGGGCATAGCAACCCACTCCAGTATTCTTGCCTGGAGAGTCCCATGGCCAGAGGAGCCTGGCAGGCTACGGTCCAGAGGGTTGCAAAGAGTTGGACACAACTGAAGTGACTTAGCATACACACACATACAGGGGACAATCAGGGAGATTTAAATATGAACTGTCTATTGGATAGTTATATCAATGTTAAATTTTTTGACTTTGATATTGTGATTATGTCAGAGAATGTTTTTATTCTTAGGAGATAAACCCTGAAGTACTTAGGGGTGAAGTGTTGCTTCAAATGGTTCAGCAAAATTATATATCATACATTCATCTTATATAATAATATATTGCTACTAATATAATTATAACATAATCATGTCATAATATAATGATGTTAATGACCCTAACATATCATGCTGTATTATATATGAATATATAACAAATTATGCATGATATTTGATTTATATTGCTATTATATTGTACACACAAATGTATATATATACTTACATTTATAAATTTATTCTTTCACTCTCACACCATGTACTCTCTCTTACCCACACAGGTGCCTGTGCTCCTGCATGCATATGCCATGCATTACCCCCTACCCCATGGAAGCTGCATTTTAATAGAGACCCTTCACATCAGGGGAAATGCTGAAGGTGATCCATTTCTAGCAGTTTCTCTAGGCTCAACAAGGAGATTCTATGGGACTGAGGAGCCTTGTGGCTCCCCTGTCCAGAGGTGTGTGGAAGGCAGGTGTTATCATCAGCCAGGAGTCCCATCCCCTTTCTCCTGCAGCCTCGTGTGCAAACCTCCTTGGAACACGAAGTTTATTTACCTGTTCCTTCTGTTGCCTTTAGTCTCCCCACATACTGAACAGAGAAGCTGACTTTTAACAGGCCATGCACAATGTGCTCTGGGGCAGGAGAACAGAACGTTTTGGAGAAGTTAGATCAGACGGACCCTGCCTTAGCATGGGGTTATCCTTGGCTCTCTTTCTAACCTGCACCCAAGACCCTTCCATCCCCCCACCCCCTTCAAATTTTAATCAGCTTTTCTCACAGCATCAGTGCACCCCACAAACAGGTTTTCAAAAGTAAGTGGGGTTTGGCAGAAACCAATGCAATTCTGTAAAGCAATTATTCTTCAATTAAAGAATAAGTAAATTTTGAAAAAGCAAGTAGAGTTAAGTTAACTGGCTGCTGCATTTATCTATTAAATCAGTTAAACACAGTTTAGAACATCCAGTTTGGTTGCTGTGGTCATTTCTATAAAAAGTTGAGAAATAAGGCCCTCAGAGACCCCTATGACCCCCCATATGGCAGCACTTCCTTGAGAAAACTAGAGTAAACGCCTCACCATTTTGACTGAAAACACAATTTCCAGAGTCAAGACGACTAGAAAATCTGAGAAATTTGTAAATCAAATTGCATCTTAAACACGTTAGAGCTTACTGTTGATATATATTCCATGGTAAAGCCTTCTGTGAAAGAATTTGAAGGATGCTTTTGTACAAAGAGAATTCCCATCCCCTGGCCTGAGCTACCCAAGGTTGAGTTTGGGGGGTTTGGATTTTTTGTCAATCAGGTTTGTAGCAACTAAGAGCTATTGAAAAGATTTGTTTTTTAAAATACCACGTTTTTCCAGCTTATACAAATAGAATTTCCTAAATATACTGAAAAGTATGAAGCAGAAATGAAAGTCACCTCTAATTTCACACCTGAGTGATGATTGTCATATTTATGCATGTGTGTGCATATGTAGACATCTCTAGTTAGAAGCAAAACCTTTCCTTGCAAATTTGCTCAGCTGGGTCTTACCGCCTAGGTTGTAGAAAGTAGGAGGTGGTGTGGACTTTCTATACCCAGAAGGTAATCACTGTCAGAGACTTTGTGAAACAATAGGCACCAGGTAAAAAGGAAACCCCTGCAGGTTGGGGGGTATGAGGCAGGAGGTCCACAGGCAGACCCCCTTCCGGGTCACCAAGGGGCAATCCTGAGAGCACAGCCTGGGAGGCCTGTGGGCAGCCTCCAGTCAGCAGTTCTGCACATTTGCCTGGAGGCTGCTTCCCTCTAAAAGCGCACACTGGACATTTGCTCCCCATTGTTCTTTTCCTCCTTCAGTTTGATGTTCTGTCCACCCCTACCCTCTCTGGGCTGACAAGATGCTCTTGGGTTAAACAGATGTTTGACTGACACATGTGACCACGGCAGAGAAACTTGTGTTCAGAGAGGCCCCTGAGAAGCAGAGCTCATTCCCCTCAGGACTAACACTGTCAGGCTGGGGTGATGGGCGCTGGCTGGTGCAAGGGGGCTGTCGAGGGGATGGAGCCTTCCCAGTGTATTTTCACCCACCTTCCAGGGCTGCTTGAGAGTGTCAAGAGCCTGGCAGGAGACCATAGCCTGCCTTCTCTGTGCTAGGGGAAGCCTCAGGCAGCCCAGCTCTTCCCTAAAGAGAGCCACCAGGTGAGAGCTTTGGAGACTTGCCGTGGGGAGAGTGGGCTGTCTCTCAGAGCAGCAGGTGGCCAGTGGACCCGGGACCTCTCTCTCCCTCTCTGCTATAGAATCTGGGCTCCACCACTGTGTGTGTGTTAGCCACTCAGTCGTGTCCGACTCTTTGCCACCCCACGAACTGTAGCCTGCCAGGCTTCTCTGTCCATGGAATTCTCCAGGCAAGAACACTAGAGTGGGTTGCCATTGCCCTCTCTAGGGCTCTACCACTAGATAGCTGTATTAACAGAAAAGGTTACTTGAACTCTTCATTCTTCAGTTTGCAAATCCAAGACATGGGGGTAATAGCGGTACCCTTCAGTTGGGATTGTAATGCTTCAATGAGTTATTGCACATAATGCATTTAGCATGGCACCCACCAGAGTGCATAGATAGCTAAGGTGGCTCAGATGGTAAAGAATCTGCCTGCAATGTGGGAAACCCAGGTTTGATCCCTGGGTCAGGAAGATCCCCTGGAGAAGGAAATAGCAAACTTCTCCAGTATTCTTGCCTGGAGAATCCCATGGACAGAGGAGCCTGGTGGGCTACAGTCCGTGGGATCACAAAGAGTTGGACACAACTGAGTGACTAACACTTACCAGAGTGTAAGCCCTTGACAGACATTAGCTAGCATTGTCACTGTGTTAATCTGCTCAGGCTTTAACAAAATACCATAGAATACAGGTTTAGGCAGCAGAAAGTTACTTTTCACAGTTCTGGAGGCTGAAAGTTTGAAATCAAGATCTTTGTGTTCTGGTGAGGACTCTCTGCTTGGCTGGTTTACAACTGCCTTCTCATTGTATCCTGTCATGGCAGAGAGCAGGCTGGCTCAGGTCTTTTCCTCTTCTTTTAAGAGCACTAATTCCATTATGAGGGCACATCCGCATGCCTGTATTTAATCGTTATTACCTCCTAAAGGGCCCCCAACTATCACACTGGGGATTAGGGCATTAATGTATGTATTGGGGTGTGTGGTGGCACATTCAGTACTTAATGGTCATTATTATTTTTACTGTCCCTTTGCAGGGTGTTCTTAGGTTTGGGGCAGGCTTTGAAAGGGAGGGAAGGAAGAAGTGGGGAAGATCTTTCTGTCTCCAGTAGGTCTTAAAGCCCATGGTGGTGGGTCTTGAGCCTTCTGGAAACTGTCTGCTTTCACAGTGTTCTATTTCCCTCTCCTTTTAACCTTTAGGGAAAGGCTCTTTTTTGCTTTACTCTAGAGAAGAGGGAAGAGGAAGAAAAGTCAGGTTTATTAGGCAGCTACTTCTCTGAGCTTGGCATCTGGGTGGGAAGGGAAGTCACACCATTGACTCCAAGCCACACCCCTTAGGGCCGTCACCATCATCCCCACGGTCAGAGGACAGTGCCTGCAGGGGCTCCAGACGAGGAACACACGTAGTCCTCGGTCACTCCTCAGAAGTTTCCGAAAGGATTGAACCTGGGCCCCTGAACCCACACCCTTGCAACATGTAGCTGGTGCCGGGAGGAGTGAAGCGGCCACACCTGGAGCAGGAGTAGGGTTGGGATGGGTGCCGAGTGCAGCTGTTGTGGGAAAGTGCACAGGCCGGGCCTTGCAGTCACATGGCGCGTACTGGCTGGAGCTAAGTAGTGAGGCTCCTTAGACCCCTGAATCTCTCCACCAGCGGAGGCTGCCCCCCCCCTCAACCTCCAGATCTCCCAGGCTGGAGTAGCTCTCCCACAGAAGGTTATTTTCAAGGGCTGCTAACCCAGACTGTATTTTCTTCTGTGCTCTTGTCCCTCCTCAGCCCCTAAAGACAATGAAGAACGTGTGTTTCGGGAGCGCATGCGGCCCAGGAAGCGGCAGGGGGCTGTCAGGCGCAGGGTCCACCAGGTCAACGGCCACAAGTTCATGGCTACCTACCTTCGGCAGCCCACCTACTGTTCCCACTGCCGAGATTTTATCTGGTAAGGTCCTCTTTTCTGGAAACCTCTCAGTTAGACTTCTCGGCAGCAAGAGGTGGGGGGAATGGGTCAGGAGACTGGACACTTTATGTAAAAAATGCTAATGTGCTTTAATTCTTTATTTGACTACAGAAGACTTTTCTGCAAGGCTGAGTGGTGCCTGGGAGGCTAGATGGGAAGAAGAAACAATGAATCCTGGTTCCTACATATGGAGATATGTAGGACCATATCATATCTCATATTTAAGGAGTTAAGATTTTATAACCAGTAATGGTATTGTGTTTTGTTTTTTTTTTTAAAGAACTCTTAACTTTTAGAGAGGGACTCTGAATTATTTACCAACAGAATGATGGATTTCTTAGATTTGTTTTAAAAAAATAACTGGAAGGAGGGGTGAGGGTCTAGGGTAGAGATGAAACAAGGCTGGCCATGAATTTATCATTGTTGGAGGTACTCACAGGTACCTGAGGGTCTACTGTGTTCATCTCTCTGAAAGCTTAAAAATATTCCATTGCCAGTATTTATAATACAAAACAATTCTTAGTAACTGTCACAACACTGGTGCTGAAAGGATGCTGAGATTTCAGAAAAGAGAGAGAAGCATTGGCTGGAGTACTCAGGGAAGGCTTCCTGGAGGAGGTGGCAATTCTCTTTTTATGATGACTAGGCTTTTGATAGGCAGAAACAGGTAAGTAGTATGCCTTTTTGGCAGGTGGAGAAGGACAAGGAATATTGGCCTTGGGGATTAGAGAGGAACTTTTGATGAGAACCTACCTTGTGTCAGGGTCTCTCTTTGGCTCTGGAAATCTCTAAATCTTCCCAGCATCCTATGAGCTATGTATTATGTATGTACCATTCCACTAACAACAATACTGAGGCTCAGAAATGAGACCAGCCTACAGCCCTCCAGCTAGGATGTGTCAGAGACCTGATTCCACCCTGGTGAGCACAACTAATAGCTCATGCTCAGCCTTCCTAGCTACCTCTCTTAGGTCTCTGGAACTGATGTGGAGTTCGCATGCTGGCAATCCCATGGAGGAGAGTGAGCAAGGCCATACTGCAGCATGAATGCATAAGGGGAACATTCAAATTGCACTCTGAGGACACCCTGGATTCCCATGGTGTCCAGGAACACCTCTTCTCATCCTTGTGGTGTTCTGAAACTAGTCACAGAGGTTGGCATGGACATCCAAGGTGACACAGCTTAGAGCAAAGTCAACCTGATTAAAGCAGAAATAATGCCCAGCTCCATCCACGGACACGTCTCATTCCTGGGACTGACAGCCATCTGACCTGTACCTCTGTATTTTGGTCAAGAATTGGGGAACAGGTTCTGAAAGCTTAGCCTTAGAGATTCCGGTCTCCTCTAAGCCCATGGCCAGTACTACTGACCTCTAGGTTCCCTTAGCTGTAGCCCCAGTGATTCTGGCTCCTCTCACTGGACTGGGCACTGCAGGGAGCTGACCAGTTGGTGGTGGTGTCCTGAGGACAGGGCTCAGGCCAGGTTGGCTGGATTGTCCTGTGTCCAGGCTAACCCTAAACCTGCCCTAGGGGACCCTATGCTGGCCGTGGAAGGAATCTGTGATGTTGGCCTTTACCCAAATGGTAGATTGCACTCCCAGTCCTGGCCACACTCTGCCCCATAAACCTTGACTACTCCTGGAATGCTCAGGGAATATGCTTGCCAGCGAGAACCCTTCTCCACAACTATCTGCGAAGAAAGGCATGCTTAATGACTTGAGGCCCATGGAGAGCAAGCAGGGTCTCTGAGGCTTTCCAGAACACAGCTGGGCCCCTGGAGTGGCTGTTTGTATAGGAGACCGAGCTCTAACACTGACCAAACCTTGTACCCATTCCAAGCCCTGGGGCTGTCCTTGATGGCCATCAGAAGGAGTCATTTTAAGGCACCCTTCAAGTGGGAGCGAGATACTAGCCCTCTGCCGAGTGGACTCCACTCAGCATTTGTGGGCAGTGGCCAGAATGGGGTGGCTTTGTGTGGCTTTTGACCTACTGGAATTCATTTTCTTAAAGAGCTGTTTTCTTCTTTTCAGGGGTGTCATAGGAAAGCAGGGATACCAGTGTCAAGGTAAGAGGGTGTTGTATGAAGTAAATCCCTGGGAACCACAGGTCAATTCAGATCACGACTGCCTGTGGAAACGGGGGCTGGGTGGGATGAGACCCAGAGCTAGGTAGGCCCTGCATGGTCACGCTCTCTCTCTGCAAAGCAAGACCCTGATTTTCTTTTGTCCCTGCCTGGCCATCGCTCCACCATAGCTGTGTGGGAGTGGATGTATAGGAGCGCCTGTGGGGACCACCATCTGCAGGTGACCAGGGGGCTCAGCCTTTTGGTGCAGTGTTTCCGGTGCACCTCCTTCTTTCCCTGTGAAATGGAAAGCTTCAGGAAGATGCCCTTTGGAGGCCCTTGTGTCCTGAACCGGGTTCTGTGTGTTGTGTTAGCTCCCCATTCTCCCACTCCCTGAAGAAGCTTCCTCCCCTGCTCGTTTTATTCTGTCTCACTCATGGTCCTTGCTGCTTCGCTCTCTCTCCCTCTCTCTCTCTTTTTTTTTTGTCTCTTCTATACCATCATTAGCTCTTAAACATTTAACAGTTGCCTGAAAGTATGAGAGGGTTTGTTTCTTCCCCAGTTAATTGACTACAAATGCAAGGTTAAGTTATCTAGAACTGGAGGGTGGTATGTGATGAGGTCATGCTGAGGCTTCTCTGTGGTTGGAACTGGGAGCCCAGCCACTGGTTGACTTGAGTCTCACCCCTGGGGGACTGGGGTAGCTTCTGTGGGATGTGGCTGTGTCCTGGGGGTAATGTGTGCACAGTTACACATGTGACAGTTCTTAGATTCCTTGTATCACCTACTGCCCACACTGGCCCATGACACTACAGACAGAGCGTCAGCCATTTCTTGGGGAAGTATTACATAAAATGAAAAATTTTAGATTTGGCACAAAAGGTATATCCAGATCAAGGAGCTAGAGAACTTCTATGTCACAGAATACCCACTCACTTGCTGCTGGCCTCCCTGCCACCCCAGCCAGCCCTGGTGGGACCTTGAATGGAACACAGGGGTGCATTCCAGCTGGGCGATCATTTCCTGACGCTGGCATGGAGAAGCAAGAAAATTGATTGGTACTCCTGGAACTGCAGAAAACTGCTGATGCCCTTTGGATATAAATGGTCCATTCTTCTCCAGAGCATTTAGGAGAGCCTAATGGCTCTGATGGCAGAGTGCTTTGAAGTGATTGCATAAAGGGCTTCAGGTAGGGCACTGCAATAAGACTCTGCGTTGGAGACAGAAGGGGCAGGGCTCCCCTTCACTCCTCCGCAGAGACTTCATTGAATCCTGGGATGGAACCTTTCTTCCCCTGCTTGTCGCTCAGCTCTCTCATGTCTTGCTCTTTGCAGTCTGCACTTGCGTGGTCCACAAGCGATGCCATGAGCTCATAATTACGAAGTGTGCTGGATTAAAGAAACAGGAAACTCCCGACGAGGTAAATATTTATAACATTGAAATTCTGGGCTTTCTTCCCTGCCATCCCCACCCTCCACTGCCTCCTCTGTGGTCCCCAGGAAAAACCTTATCTCTCTGAGGTCCTGTTGCTTTCTTCATTGTGTTGATCAAAAATGAAGGGAGTTGTCCACAGCCTTCCGGCATGAGGTACAATCTACAGAATGAGTGCAGCTCAAAGTCGGGCTTGTGTGTGTGGATATGATGCCAAGGGTTTTATGGTCCCCAAAAGAAAGCCCAGGGGAAAATTTGAGTTATTTTATGTCATTATCTCATTGAAACAGTGAAGGGACTCACTGACATGTCAAGGGCTCCACACAGCTCATAAACAGTGAGACACAGAACACACAGCAGGAATCTTATCTTTATGAGGTGATGGAGGAATGGAGTGGGATTAACGAATCTAAGAAACACTTAAGAGGCTGGAAGAACCACAGTAATAACAATAGCTGACATTCATTGGGTACTCACTGTGCCCTGATTTAAGCACTTTATCGTATATTATTTAAAGCCATAACAGCCTTAATGAGATCTATCTTCATTTTCCAACAGAAAGAATAGAAGCGTAGAGAGGTCAAATTAACTTGCCTTAAACCTCACATCCCAGTATGTGAAAAAGCCAGCCAGTCTGTTCCAGAGTCTGAGTCCTTGACGACGGTACTATGTTCCCTTCATCTTAGAAACTAGTGTCAGATTGACTGTTAGAAAAGTTGTTAAGGGTAAAGAAGTAAGAAAATTTGACTTGAAGCCAGGTTTCTCTTAACTGAGTAATTGAGAGAAGAGTGGATCCACTAACAGAGGTAAAAAAAAAAAAACCTCTTGGAGAAAATGACATGTATGAATGTGAGTAGAGGAGTTATCTGTGTTCACGACAGTTGATTTCAAAGACATACTTTTAATTCTTGGTGAAATAAATAAATATCATATAATCATAGGCCATTAGTGTGAGAGACACCCTGGGTGGGATTACAATCAGATAGGTTTATAACTAGGCTTCCAAAATGAGTCCCTTCTATTTTTAAGAAGCAGGGTCTTCTACCTGCTTCTTAAAAACAGTTCAACAAAGTGACACCTTGACACCCAAAATATTTTCCATCTTTATGGAAAGCATTTCCATCTCCTTTTGATTTCACACCATCTCTGGAAAGCAGGAAGGGACGAGGCTTAGACTGAGCATCCCATGTCCCTGGAAAGCAGACAGCACAAAGCACCAAAGTCGTTTACTGACGTCCTACTGTCACGGTAGGAAATCGCAAGTCACTGTCACCTGGCTCTCTTGACTCCTGTTCTAGAATTGTAACCATAAGTATGCTGCTACTCTCATTAGTTTTTTAAATGAGTGAAAGAAAAAGATAATTTCCTTGCTGTGTGTCTTTCTTCTTAGGGACATTTTATTTAGCATTTATTGAGCACTTCCTGTATGCCAGATGATTGCTCCATGACCCACAGAAACAAAGAGGAATACATGATTCCTGCTCTTAAGGAGATCATAACTCTCAATAAGTTTTTAAAAAATGATCTCATAAGTTTTATCAATTGTGAACCTCTGCAGATGTCTAAACCTTTTTCACACCTCCTTGGAAGGAGACCCTATGACTTCATGCCATGCAGGCTAGAGGGTTGAGATTTGAAATGCACAGAACCCAGCTTTAATCTGTGACCTAGTTTCTCTGATTGTATTTTCTGGCATATTGAACACTGAAAAGAAGTTACCAATGAGCCATGTTCCCAAACTTGGTACATGTCCCAAGGGAGATCAATTGCCAGGGATTGACTGGGTTTCTTAGTGGAATTGGTTGCCTGTCCTGCTGCTCCCTGAGGCCAGTCTCTTAGTTACTATATTCCTGACCCATCAGGGTGAAGACTGTGCCCTCTGCTGGGCACAGCCCTCGGGGGACGAACCTTAAATTTCATTCTTTTGTGTAACGACCTGCAGTGTGAGACATGTACACACTCATCATCCATATACACCCCACACCCACATGGCTCTAAACACCAAGTATCTAATGCCCTCCCATTAAAAGGGGCCTCTGCCAATGGGCTCCCTGGAACTTTTGGCCACAAGCACTCGGCCGATGCCCTCATCCTGTCTTGTGTCTCTGTGCTCACACTTAGGACTCTTGCCATTCCCCGACTAACCAAGAATGCTCTCTCTTTGTGTCATCTTCCTTCCTTCTCTTCCTCTTTGGCCTTTAGTCTTCCAGTTCTATCTTTCTCCCTTTTCTCCCTCCCCGAGTCCTTCCTGTTGGCCTCACTCACCGCTCTCCGGCTGTATCTTCCTCTGAGTGCTGTGTGCATGGGAACTACACCTGGGCCGCCTCCCTGGGTGCTCGCGGTCTCCCTGATCCGGCAGCACAGCCTTACGTGTCGGTCATCATTCTCACTCACCATCGTCTGATGCTTTAGAGTCCTTAGTGGCTGCAGCGGAGGGTCACACAGCTCTCCTGTCCCCACAGACCTCCTGGTCACCTGGGATGCTTCCCGACCTCTTTACCTTGGTTGTCCCCACATCTCTTTGGGGCTAGTCCTGGGAGACCACGACTCTCCTCTTAGTATCGACCCAGCATGTCTTCAGTACCTACAGTAATATGTTTCCTGCCTCTTCTACCCCCAGGGTCTCATTGATCCCACAGTCCCGTCACCTAATGACAGCTCTTGAAGGCCAAAATGTGAGGTGCAGATTGACTGCTGTGTGCCATGGGATTTGGAGGTCTGGAGTCCCCGATGGGACTGGTAGGGGGTCAGAGTCCACAGAGAAAGTGGGGTCAGGGCCCTGGGAGGAAGGCTGTCTTCACCATGTTCCCAGGGAAGCTTCAGAGCAAGGAGCTTGGCTTTGACTCTGTGATTTGCCGTTTCTGCAGGTGGGCTCCCAGCGGTTCAGTGTCAACATGCCTCACAAGTTCGGGATCCACAACTACAAGGTCCCCACCTTCTGCGACCACTGTGGCTCCTTGCTCTGGGGCCTCTTGCGGCAGGGTCTGCAGTGCAAAGGTAAGGCACTGGGTCCTGCTCTCCCCCTGCCCTTGCACCTGAGCCCCCGCTGTCCTCCCCTTAAAGAACCTTTCTTCTTGGAGCCTCGAGAGTGCTTTCCAGGGCTGACCAAAGGACTGGGCCCAAGCCCTTGCTAAGCCGTTGTTAGTTACTCTGAGCATTTGCAGGCTGTCTGTGTGCAGAGGCCTTCCAGCGGACTCCGTAGAGGGAATCAGAAGAGAGAAAGTGTGACTCCACCTTCTAAGACAGTGAACAAGCTGGGGCCACAAGATGAGTCTGAAAAAGTGCAGGAAAAAATTAAGGAAAAGATACACTGAGTATAAGAGAAGAAAAGTTTTTGGAGTTAGACTCTGAAATAAGTCATAGACATTTTTCTGTCACCATCCGTGGTTCAGAGTTTACTTTTGGAAAAACACCTGCTAAAATGCTGTCGTATAAGACAGATTGCTCCTTCATAGACCTGTGATGGATGTTATATTATCCCCCTGGCCCCCATGAGTAAATAGGCTCGGAGACTAATCTAACCTCTTCATGTAGCTCGTGAGCAGAAGTAGGGTTTGAATCTTGACCTCTGGGTCTGAGTTTCCTCCTTTATTTCCTGCTGTTCTCCCTTTGAATTGACTTCTGTTCAAATGAGTGTGCTAAGTGACACAGGTAATATCACATAATATGGGGAGGTGGGTTCACACTCTGGGGTCTAATAGAAGTCCAGTGTCACAAGCTAGTCTAACTTGCTTACAGAGTTGGACAACCATGAACTATTGACCAGGAATATCTCACAGACACTATTTAAAAACACTTTTTTATTATTTTCTTAAATATTAAAATTTTAAATTTTATTAAGTAAATTTAAGCTTAAAAATGAAAATGTATTAAACTGTTAAATTAGTTTGTTATAAAAGCAGTATTTTATTATTACTGAATGCATCATTAATAAATTCCCATTATGAAAAATTAGAGAAAGAGCTAAAGTATAAGAAGGAAATTGAAGCTGTGAACCAGTTGGTCACTGAAAGGATCCCAGTGAGAAAGTATGAAGATTGGAAATAAGGTATTGGCTGTAGTGGGAATAGAGAAGGAAAATAACCTAGGAGGTGTTGATGAGTGATTTATTGTCTGTAGTGATCAGATCCAACTGGGAGGATGGTGACACCACTCACTGAGACAGGGAACCCAGGAGAGAGGGCAGGGTTGGAGGTAGAGATGGTGGAATTGAGCTGGGAACGTGTTAACTTGAGGCGCCAGTGGAAAGTACATGAAGCTGTCTGACTGTTGGAAATTCTCATTGAAACTCAGTAAAGATGTCTAGATGGAGCTTTTAGATTTGGATTTGTCAATGTTTGAGTAGTAGTTAACCTATGAAGTAGATGTCATCCCCAGGATAAGTACCTTGAGTGAAGAAAGAAGAAGACAGCTTGGGAATCTGGGGATGAGGTAGGGTATCAGCATCCTAGGATGAGTGTGCAACGGAGCTGCACACTCTGAGGGGAGGGCCTCAGAGATAGGAGGGAAAGTGGCAGGGAATGGAATCATAGAAGCCAAAAGAGCTGAGAGTACTTTTTAAAAAATTTAAAAAGGAGTGATGGATAGTGCCAAATGCTTCCAAAAAGTTATTTAAAGTAAAAAGTACCACATGGGAAAATAGAACTACATATTATCCAGCAACTCCACTTCTGGCTATTTTCCTGAAGAAATAGAAACACTAATTTAAAAAGATACACATACCCGCTGTGTTCATTGCAACATTATTTATGATAGCCAAGATATGGAAGCAACCTAAGTATCCATCAACAGATGAATGGGTAAAGAAGAGGTGTTATGTGCACACACACACAAACGCACAGTGTAATAGTACTCAGCCATAACAATTAATTAAATCTTGACATTTGTGACATGAGTAGACCTAGAGGTATTATGTTTAGTTAAATAAGTCAGACAGGGAAAGACAAATGGTGCATAGAATCTTGTTATTGTTGTTCAGTTGCTAAGTTGCAACCAACTCTTTGTGACCCCATGGACTGCTGCACACCAGGCTTCCCTGTCCTTAACTATCTCCCTGAGCTTGCTCAAATTCATGTCCATTGAGTCATTGAGTCTAACTATCTCATCCTCTGCCGCCCTCTTCTTTTGGCTTCAATCTTTTCCAGCATCAAGGTCTTTTCCAGGGAGTCGGCTCTTCACATCGGGTGGCCAAAGTCTTGGAGCTTCAGCTTCAGCATCAGTCCTTCCAATGAATATTCAGGGTTGATTTCCTTTAGGTTTGACTGGTTTGATCTCCTTGCAGTCTGAGGGACTTTCAAGAATCTTCTCCAGCACCACAATACATAAAACAGAAACAGACTCATAGATATAAAGAACAAACAGGTGGTTTGCTGGAGGGGAGGTGGATGGGGGATGGGGGAGATTAAGAGGTACAAACTTCCAGTTACAAAATAAAAGTTACAGAGATGAAACGTACAACATGGGGCATAGACTGAACAATACTGTAGTATCTTTGTGTGGCGACAGATGGTAACTAGACTTATTGTGGTGCTCATTTTGTAATGTATAGAAATATTGAATCACTATGTTTGTGCACGTGGAACAAGCATGGTATTGTAGGTCAGTTATGCTTCAATAAAACTGAAAAAAAAAAAAGGTGGAACATGGGGTTGGATTTAACAATAAGGAGATCACTAGTGCACTCAGCAGGAGCTATCTTGGTGGGGATGAGCGCCCAAGTGCAGAGGCTGGAGTGAAAACAGAATGTGAAGTATTTTCAGGATATTTTATATAATCAGAAAAAAGACAGTGGAAAAAGAGACCATTAATGAGCCAGGAGAGACAGGGAATTGTTGATAGAACAAGGATAAAGAGATGGATACCCCTCCTCCTAGTCAAAGGAAAGACTCAAAGCCAGGCCCGGCATGTCCTGTGTCAGGGAAGGGAGTCCAGGACGAGATGACTGGCAGAATGGTCATTTAAGTTCTGAATCTTTTGAGGGCACTGCAGCTAAAAATAAGTTCCTTTTTTAATTAAGTTTTTATAGGAAATTCCTTACTGTTCTCCATAGTGGCTGCATTAATTTCCACTCCTTCCTACAGTGTAAGAGGATTCCCTGCTCTCACACCCTCTCCAGCATTTATGTATAAAATAGATCACTAAGGAGAACTGCTTTATAGCACAGGAACACTACTTGAAACTGTGGTGACCTAAGTGGGGAGGAAGTCCAAAAAAGAGGGGATATATGTATACGGCTTCCCTGGTGGCTCAGACTGTAAAGAATCTGCTTGTAATGAAGGAGACTCAGGTTCGATCCCTGGGTTGGAAAGACCCCCTGGAGAAGGGAATGGCTACCTACTCCAGTATTCTTGCCTGGCAAATGCCATGGACAGAGGAGCCTGGCAGGCTACAGCACATGGGGAAGCAAAAGAGTTGGGTACAACTGAGTGACTAACACACACATGTATGTATGGCTGATTCACTTTGCTGTACCACATTGCAAGCAGGATATTGTAAAGCAACTATGCTCCAACAATTAAAAAAAAAAAAAAAAAGGTCAGCAGATAGAAGACAATCCCAGACTGTGGCACTTCTAACATGAGAGCAGAAAAGTCTTTTTAATTACTCTGTTTCTGATGTTGATAATAAAGAAGATTAGGTAGTGATGATATTAATTAGAGTGTTATCAGTGATGAAGGACAATAAATAGCACTCCATTTCATTACCTAACCCTTGTTAATTTCCCCAACTTTGATCAGTACAGACTTTGGCCAGACTTCTGAGTTACGGGGTGGGGCAGCGGGGGAAGAGAGTTCCCTTACTTCTGAAATACGAGATCCTTTTCAGAGTTGACGTGAGAAGTAAGGGGAGTGTGGAAGGCACGAGGAGGGTAGGAAATAGCTGTCCTAAGAAGTGAGGACGAGTAGGACAGGAGGAAGTGCTGGCCGCTGACACATCTTATGTTCTCTGTGAGCTTCCCAGATGTTGTTTCCCTTTCTAGAATTCCAGCACATGACCTGAAAGAAACAGGGCCTGTCCAAAATCCTTTTTGCCATTAAGTGACATGGAAACAAAAAGAAGAGAAAGAAAACAATGCAGCAGGAGCCTTGAATGCTTTCAGCAGAGGAGTGATGCATTTTTGGAAAGTTGAGTAGTGGTTGCCAGGAAGCAGAGCGCCTGCTTTGGATGGGACTCTGATGAGGCCATGTCTGGTTTTAAGTAACTCTATTAATTATTGATCTATCTAGGGAATCTAAATGAAGGCACCATCATCTCATAAATATTGATAACTTAAGGAGGCAGCCCAGACACCCAGACGTGGCTGCCAGGGCTGTGGGTCCCTGGATGACCCTGGGAGAAGGCAGGGCTGGGGGACAGTGTGTTCAGCTCTGTTTTGGCAGGAAGCGCCCCAAGCCTGCTCAAGTAAAAGATGGGGAGAATGAGGCTGCCTCAAGCGAGGATTCCTGGTCACTGGAGCCCAGCAGGACATGAGAGGAACAGGCTACACAGAGATGAGAAGGTAGAGGCCATTCAGAACTTAGGGCCCCAACAAAGGTTTACAGATACTCCTGTCCTGTCCTCTGTTACCATGATTTGGCCTTTTCCCTCTTGCTCCTTTTCTCCTCCTGCTGCACTTTTCTCTCTCTCTCAATTTATTTTTTAGATTCACAGTAAAACTGAGCAGAAGGTACAGAGATTTCCTGTATATAGCCTGCCCCCACATAAACCCAGCCTCTCCCACCATCAATGTCCCCCACCAGAGAGATGCATTTGTTAAACAGTTGCTGAGCTTACACTGACACATCAATCATAATCACCCAATGTCCATAATTTACATTAATTTCACTCTTGGTGTTGGACACTCTGCGGGTTTTGACAAATGTATAATGACATGTATCTACCTTACAGTACCATACAGAATGGTTTCACTGCCCCCCAACCCCTATATTTTCTTCTCGCTTTTTATCCTTTTTCAGCCTCAAGTCTTTTTGCCCCTGCAGGCCCCTTATCCTGTGGAG